GGGGACCTGCCACCGCGCTCGTTCGCCTGCTTGGCCTTGAGCTTGCTCGCAGCCTTGGCCTTGAACTTGCTCGAAGTCTGAAGTCGGCTTGCCAGGGCGCGGGTCCCCCCGCAGCTCTTGCCAGCAAGGGGTATTCTGCTTGCTCGCAGCGCGGATCGTCTCGCAGCTGCTTCCGCGGCCCTTCCGCCGCTGGACCCGCGGCGCGCCGCCGCTGGGCCTCCTCGAGGGGCTCCTGGAGCTGTTCCACCATGTCGAGAGTCCACCAGATAGCGCCGTGGATGGTGAGGAGTAGAGCGAGAGCTGACCACTGTAGGCCAGCTCCGCTACCAAGTTTGAAGGGGGGTGGAAGGCCCAACAAGCAGCTTCGCCTTAGGAGAAGCCCATCTCCAGCTCTGTTGCACCACAGTAACGGTAGTCCCAGTCGGGTGAGGTCGTCGAGGGAGCGACGGGCCGTCTCAAGCGAAGATGTGCTTCGCGATGAGGAAAATTCCGGCCTCGATGGCAAGTAGTGTGCCTCGCGATGAGGCACAATCATATGTTGGCGGCCGGCCGCTTGAGCCCAAGCGGCCACGGACAAACGTTCGCTATCTCTCGCCCTTGTCCCAGCTCACTTCAGAGTCACATTGGCGCTTCCACAAGGGCAGGGGGCGGCGGTGATTCGCCGTAGGCGTCTTTGATCCGCCGCCCCCTGTTGGCTTGCCACAAGGGTGCCTGGCGTGCTGAACCACTTCGCTTTTGGTTATTTGAAAACTCCCCCTGGGGTTTCGGCCCGTCCCGCCGGCCACCCGGAAGGTCAGGAAACTACTGCAAACCACCCCAACGTCCACAAAAAAATCCAAGACGCTTCAAGATGGCCTCTAAGATGGCCACGTTGGCCCAAGATGGCCTCCAAGATGGCCCAAGATGGTCCAAGATGGCTTCCAAGACGGCCCGAGAGAGTCCAAGATGCCTTCAAGTTCGTCCAAGAAGCCTCCAAGACGGCCCAGATGATTCTAAGATGGCCTAAGACTGGCCAAGAGGCCCCCAAGAGGCCTCCAAGAGCTCCTGAAGGTTCGAAAGGGTCAAACCATTGGTTTTCCATAATTGTTGAAAGATGTGAGCATTTTCTTCTTTTCAGCTCTCCGACGGCCCAAGACGGCCCCAGAGGTCCCCAACATCGCCCCAAGAGCGCCCAAGAGGCCTCCAAGATGGCCCCATGACAACCCAAGAGGCGCCCAAGGGGGTTCCAAGAAGAGCCCAAGACGGCCCAAAAGGCCCGCATACGCCCAAGGTGGCCTCCAAGACGGCCAAGATGGCCTCCAAGACGCCTCCAAGACGGCCAAGATGGCGTCCAAGACGACTAAGATGGCCCCAAGATTCACCAAGACTGCCTAAGACGGCCCAAAAGGCCTGCAATAGGCCTCCAAGACGGTCCAAGAGCCCTCCAAGACGTCCTCCAGGAAGGCCCGAAAGGGTAAAAATCATTGATGCTGCAAAGTTGTCGCATTTTCCTCTTTTCAGCTCTCCGACGGCCCAAGACGGCCCAAGCGGCCCCCAACATCGCCCCAAAAGCGCCCAAGGGGGCTCCAAGATGGCCCCATGACAGCCCAAGAGGCGCCCAAGGAGGCTCCAAGCCCCAAGACGGCCCAAGAGGCCCCCAAGACGCCCAAAATAGCCTCCAAAGCGGCCAAGATGGCCTCGAAGATGCCTCCAAGACGCCCAAGATGGCCGTCAAGACTGCTAAGATGGCCCAAATATGCACCCAAGACGGCCCAGTATGGCCTCAAGATGGCCTAAGACGGCCCTATAGGCCCGCAAGAGGCCTCCAAGACGACCCAAAATGCCTCCAATACGTCCTCCAGGAAGGCCCGACGGGGCAAATGCATTGATGTCCCGTAGGTGTTTGAAAGGTGTTGGCATTTGTTTCTTTTCAACTCTCCGACGGCCCAACACGACCCAAGAGGTCCCCAACATCGCCCCAAGAGCGCCCAAGAGGCCTCCAAAATGGCACCATGACAACCCAAGAGGCCCCCAAGGGGGGCCCCAAGAAGAGCCCAAGACGGCCCAAGATGGCCCCGAAGACGCCGAAGATGGCATCCAAGACGGCCAAGATGGCCTCCAAGATGCCTCCAAGACGGCGAAGAAGGCCTCCAAGACAGCGAAGATGGCCCCAAGATGCACCCAAGACAACCCTGGATGGCCTCACGATGGCCTTAGACTGCCCAAAAGAACCGCAAGAGGCCTCCACGACGGCCCAAGAGCCCTCCAAGACATCCTCCAGGAAGTCCCGAAAGCTCGGAAACCACCTGGTCCGATAGCTCGCCCGACTCCGTGTTCCCCGAAGGCTTTCGAAACCCACTCGGGGAACGCGTGACCCGATAGCTTGGCCAAGCTGAAACCGAATTTTCGTCCACGCAGGCGCTTCCGAAAAGGCAGGGGGGCGGCGGTGATTCGCCGTAGGCATCTTCGATCCGCCGCCCCCTGCTGGCTTGCCACAGGGATGTCTGGCGTGCTAGATCCTTTCGAGGTTGGTTGTGGTTCTTTTCCAAAAGAACTCCCCCATCGGCTTCGGCCGATCCCGCCAGGGTCCCCGAAACCACCTCAACGACAGCAAAAAATGATCCAAGACGGCTCAAGATGGCCTCTAAGATGGTCACGTTGGCCCAAGATGGTCTCCAAGATGGCTCAAGGTAGCCTCCAAGTCGCCAAAGATGGTCCAAGATGGCTTCCAAGACGGCCCGAGAGGGTCCAAGATGCCTTCAAGTTCGTCCAAGAAGCCTCCAAGACGGCCCCAGATGGCTCCAACATGGCCTAAGTCTGGCCAAGAGGCCCCCAACAGGCCTCCAATACGTCCTCCAGGAAGGCCCGAAAGGGCAAAAATCCGTGATACTCCTTAGGCTTTGGACGGATGTTAACACTTTCTTCTTATCAGCTCTCCGACGGCCCAACACGGCCCAAGAGGCCGTCACCATCGTCCCAAGAGCGCCCAAGAGGCATCCAAAATGGCCCCATGACAACACAAGAGGCCCCCAAGGGGGCCCCAAGAAGAGCCCAAGACGGCCCAAGGTGGCCCCGAAGACGCCGAGTATGGCCTCCAAGACGGCCAAAATGGCCTCCAAGATGCCTCAGCGAAGATGGCCCCAAGATGCACCCAAGACGGCCCCTGATGGACTCAAGATGGCCTTGGACTGCCCAAAAGGCCCGCAAGAGGCCTCCACGACGGCCCAAGAGCCCTCCAAGACATCCTCCAGGAAGTCCCGAAAGCTCGGAAACCACCTGGTCCGATAGCTCGCCCGACTCCGTGTTTCCCGAAGGCTTTCGAAGCCCACTCGGGGAACGCGTGGCCCGATAGCTTGGCCAAGCTCAAATCCAACTTTCGTCCACGCAGGCGCTTCCAAAAAGGCAGGGGCGGCGGTGATTCGCTGTCGGCGTCATCGATAACGTCGACGTCTCAATATGCGCTGATGATTCCTACCCGCCCCCGCATGATGTTCGCAGATGCGCCAAGGCAGCGCCGAGACGCACCGACGCGACTCTGAGATATCCCATTATAGGAAAGGGGGCCAGCGGCAAGGGGCGAAGCCCTTACGGATAGATCGGTAGGGTGCCGTCCGAGCAGCACGGTAAACACGCGAGGCGCACTGCAAGCACCGACGTCAAAGACGCAACCAAATCGACCAAGGACGTCCCGTAGAGGAGAAAACGAGGAGGATGACGACAAAAGCGCAAAAGAGGCGCACCACGACGGCAAAGATCGCCAGGCGTGCACGCAGAAGCGGGGCACCCCCCCTCGGTGGGAACGACCCGGAAGGAGGGGGTGAAGAAGGAGAGAGAGCAAGCAGGGGCAGAGGCAGCAGGGGAGCCCAGAGAGACGATGGCGAAGACCCCCCCACGACGCGGCCGAGCCCACGACAAACTGAGGACGGCGAAAACTGTGCAATGTACTGGAGCAGCCCTGCCCTCCTGCTACTGATCCCCTGGGGATAAATGAAGGTCGGGGTCCAGGATGGATAACAAACGTTTTCACACGGATCTCCGGATAATGATCAAGATGGTGACGATGATGATGACCAAGATGATCCTGAACGTCAATACGAATCCTTTGAAAACTCAATAAGAATTCCTTTCCGAAAACCGTTGGAACGATAAGGAAATCCACAAGACTCCTTCGGATGTCCATGGGATTCCTTAGGAAACCCATGGGATCCCTATGAAAAGTATCAAGAATCCTTCGGGGATACATAGGAATCCTCAGGATACCCATCGGAATCCTAAGAAAAACTATAGAAATCCAGTGGGTATCCATAAGATTCCTCCGGTGGAGCTCTATAGGTTTGCTTAAGATATGGGATATCCACCGGAATCCTAAAGACGAAATTGAATGGTGGATCATTTTGGCAATCAGTACGATGCCTTTGGAAATTCATAGGATTCCCCGGACATCCATTGGATTGCTATGGAAATATATCGGGTTCCTCCGGCAATCCATAAGATTCGTTTGGAAATCCATCGGGTTCCTTTTGGAAATACGTCGGACTCCTATGGGAATCCATGGGGTGCCTTAGGATATCCATCGGAATCCTGAAGACGTCTATTGGAATACTTGGTAAGACGTAAGATTCTTCAGAGAATCCATATAAGTGCCATGGACATCTATGAGATGCCTTCGGATATCCATTGGAATCCTACGGAGATCGATTGGATTCCATCGGAGGGGCCTTAAGATTCCTTTGGGAATCCATTTGATTCCCAAAGAAACCCATTGGCATCCTGAAAAATGTATTGGGACCCTACGGTTGTCCATCGGATTCTTTGGGAAATCCATCGGAGCCCTATGGAAACCCATGCGATTCAGTCAGATACCCATGGGAACCCAAAGGAAATCGATTGGATTCCCTAACCAATTACAACCCTTTCAGAAATCCATGGGATTCCTTCGGGACCCCATACGATTCCTTCGATAATCTGCAGGATGCCTTCGGAAATCCATCAAATTCCTGCGGATATTCATAGGATTACACATGACATCTCTAGGAATCCCTGGCACACCCATACGAATCCAACGGTAATCCATTGGATCTTTCCGGAAATCAAAGAGATTCCTCCGGAAACCGATTGGGAAACTTCAAACATCCGTCGGATTTTTTCGGGAGTCGGTATGCTGATCGGGGCGCTGTAGCAGTTGACGATGACGGACCCCAGCTTCACCCCCAGCGGGTGGTTGAGCGGCACCGCGGCCGGCTGTTACTGCCCGCGCCCGTCCTTCCCGCACGCGCTGATCAGGGTACTGTAGCGGATGATGGTGGGCCCCAGCTTCACAAACAGACAGCAACTCGATGCGTGCTTTCGTCCCGCAAGTGGTCCCGCAAGTGTGCTAAGGGGTGACGCAGCAGGCAAACATGATGGCGAGCTCTGGCTTCACTCGCCACATCTCCCGGAGTACGGCCAGGATCGGCCGCCGCTGCTCCTGCCAGTTTTTCTCTCATGTGCTGATCGGGGCTCCGTGCAGATGACGATGGCGGGCTCCAGCTTCACTGCCAGCATCTCGCTGACCAGCGCCAGGATTGACTGACACTGCCCCGGCCCGTCCTGCTCACGCGCGCTGCTCGGGGTGCTGGAGTAGACGTGGATGGCGGGCTTCAACGTCACTCCCAGCGTCTCTCGGAGTAGCGCCAGAATCGGTTGCTTGCGTCCATGCCAAACTTTCTCGCGCGCACTGATCGGGGCGCTGCAGCAGATTATGGCGGGCTCCAATTTCACCCCCACCATCTCGTTGAACAGCGCCTGGACCAGTTGCCACTACCCCTGCAACTTGTCGCACGTATTGGCCGGGGCGCCGGAGCGGCTGAAGGTGGGCCCCAGCATCGCTCACAACGTATCACGGAGCAGCGCAAAGGCAGGTTGCCGCTGCCCCTGCCAGTCCTTCTCGCACGCATTGGTCGGGGCGCCGGAGCAGATGACGATGGCGGGCTCCGGCATGACTCCCAACAAATCTCCGAGCAGCGCGAGGGCCCGCTGCCACTGCTCCTGCCAGTCCTTCTCGCACGCATTGGTCGGGGTGGTGTTGCTGGTAGACCCCAGATTCCAGCGGTATTTTTCGATCCGGATCGATCTGCGATGGACCCAGGACCGATACAACGCGAAAAAATCGTCGCGCTACTCACGGTCGCGCTGCTGAAGTCGATCGTGCTGTTCATGGTGGTGCTGCTGGGGTCCGTCATGCTGCGCGCGATCCTGCTGGTGGAGTCCACGGTCACGTTCGTCCTGCTGGAGTCCGTCCAGATGCTGAGACACACGCACCAGGCCCGGCCGCGCGCTCGGCCGGGCCGCCGCGCGGGCCGCGGCTGCCGCCGCCTGGGCGAAGGCAGGCGGCCGTCGCCGCCCAAAGCTCGGCAGCGGCCGCCGCCGCAGCGGCGTCCGCGGCGGCCGAAAGGGCGCCAGCCGCGCCCGCGGTGCCCACGGCGACAGCGGCGCCCGCAGCGCAGAAAGCGCCAGCGGCGAACTCGGCGCCAGCAACGCAAGCGGCACCCGCGGCGCCCGCAGCGCCCACGGTGCCCACGACGCCTGCGGCGCCAGCGGCGCCCGCGGCGCCCGCAGCGCACGAGGCGCCCGCGGCGCCCGCGGCGCCGACAACCCTGGCAGCGCCAGCGGCGCCGGCGGCGCGCGCTGCAGCCCAGGCAGAACCCGCGGCGCCAACGAGGCCTGGGGCGCCCGCGGCGCACGCAGCGCACGAGGCGCCCGCGGCGCCCGCAGCGCCAACAGCGCACGCGGCGCCAGCAGCGCCTACGGCGCCCGCGGCGCCCGCGGCGCCGGCAGCGTCGGCAGCGCCCGCGGCGCCCGCGGCGCCCGCGGCGCCCGCGGCGCCAGCAGCGCCAGCAGTGCCAGCAGCACCAGCGGCGCACGCGGTGCCAGCAGCCCCGGCAGCACCCTCGACGCAGCAGGGCCAGGGGCGCCCGCGGCGCCAGCGGCGCCCGCGGCACCCGGAGCGCAGCGCGGGCGGAGGCAGCCGCCCGCTGCCGCCGTCGCCGCGCCGCCGCGATCTCCATCGTGCCGGGGCTGGAACGCCGCACCTGAGCCAGGGGCGTGCTCGAGACCAGACGGCTTAAACCTCTCTCTCACACACAACACATACATACACATACACATACACATACACATACACATACACATACACATACACATACACATACACATACACATACACATACACATACACATACACATACACATACACATACACATACACATACACATACACATACACATACACGCACGTACGTTTTGGGGGTCGAGGCTTCGGGCGCAGCGACGAGGCGGAGTAAATCAAAGAGCGGCGGGGCCAGGCGTGCGCGGCCGGGCCCTCCCCTCAAACAGGATAGTTCTGGATCGCCGCACCTGCCAGCCGAAGGAGCGGCAGCCATAGCCATAGCCATCTGGGCGAGGATGCCAGGGAGGAAAGAGGCACTGCCTGCTACAAAAGCGCCCCATGCGGTGGTCGCAGCGCGACCTGGTGGGCGGCAGCACATAGCCGACCAGGCATGGTCGGCAGGGAGGAGGAGCCGCGGCTGTGCAGCGCGGGCGTCCCGGGCCGCAGCGCGGGCGAGGATAAAGGACCAGGGCAGTACGACGGTGAAAGTAGGGCGAGGGTGGACAGCAGAGGCAGAGGACGGAGGCACAAAATGCCCTTGACGACTAGCGCCTGGCCCCCCTTTCACGACCTGAGAGGTCGCAGGAGGGTGCTTGTGAGGCGGAGCGCCGGACACGCCGCCTGGCGAAGCTAGCAGGACCCGAAGCGCCAAGGGCAGCAGCGAGGAGGACCAGGGACATGGAACAATGAGCCAGCGCTCTCACAAAGCTCCTGGCCCCCCGCGTGGTGGGGGGCGGCGAGGCCGGGGAGAGCCTCGACGTAATCACCGCAGTTGCTGAAGTCGCCGACGAGGAGCGCGAAGTCGCAAAGCTCCCGCAGGGCCGCCTGCCCGAGCTGGTTTCGTGCCAGGGGTGAGTGTGGCGGAGCTCGAGGGGGAGCACCCCGTGCGCCCCGGTGTTGAGCAGAGGGGTAAGGAGGAGCTGCGCGAGGTCAACCAGAGGGTCCCATCGGTACAGGGGGCATTTGCACGAGGCGTCGGTAAGAAAGCTGGCGACGTGCCTATCGTCTCCGCGGCGGGCCGTGCGGTTCCGGCGGTCGTCGACGCCTACCCGAAAGGTGAAGGTGAGGGCCTTGACGAGGTTGCCAGAGACCTGCCTCCCAAGGTCGGGGCACAGACCAGAGCGGCGCAGGAAGCCTTGCCACCACAACGTGAGCCCGACAAGGGGTGCAAGCTTCATGCGAGCTTGGAAAACATCTTGCAGTCGAAATCTGCAAGGCTGGACGGAGGGTTGGCACAGTTGGAGCGATGCGGGTGCACGCGAAGGGTGAGGGCAAGAATGGGTAGAAAGGCAGGGCTGGCGACCAATTTGTCGAACCACTGGCCCATCTCTTCGCAAACCTGGGCGGGGCCCAAAATTTGGGAGGGGGCCAGCGCAGAGAGACCAAAAACGTCTTCTCCTGGTGCGATGTTACGGCCTCGTCGAAAGCGTCCGCACGTGGTGTCTGTCTAGCGGTCTTGGGGACGGCGGCCCACGCTTCGTCGAGGCGGACAGGCTGGGAGGCCACTCTGGTGCCGAGGTCGGCGCCGTCGAAAGAAGCCCAGGACACTTGCAGCCCGGCGTTGGAGGCGAAGCGGACAAGGTCCACGAGCATGGCATCCTGACTGGCCCGTGCCATGCCGGCGTTCGTGACGAGGATGCAGCGGCTCTTGCCACGCGTGAGGGCGACGTTGATGCGGCGGGCGCACTCAGGTGTGCCCAAGGGCGAAATGGCCGTTGGGGAGCATGCACGAGATAAACACACGCACATACACACACACACACACACACACACACACACACACACACACACACACACGCACACGCGCGCACAGTGGGAGAGAGAGAGAGAGGAAGAGAGAGAGAGAGAAAGAGAGAAACAACAAAAAGAAACACGAGAGAGAGAGAGGGACCAGCGCCTTGAGCACCCCGCCACTGCGAACCTGCAGGAGGAATAAGTCTGCCCAGAATCGTGCCCATCTTCCTGCCAGACAACTCGCACGACCCCCGTCGGCGGGGCTCTGGATTCTGGAAGAACCTTCCAGATTCTGAGGGTATCGGCGAGACTCTGATGCGATCTGCATGGAATCCGAAATGAGGATCCAGACAAATCTCAGCAGACCCCATGCAGGCGCAACACGATCAAGATGTTGCAGGCTGGACCCTCCCCGAACATCCTGACGAGTGATCCACCGAGTCCCAGCCCTGGCGACGAGGTGCCTCCTGGCGGCCACGATAAACAAGAGAGCAAGCAAGGGGGTCAGGTCAGCCACAAAGATGCATGCCCCAGGAATCACTGGGGGTCGGCGCTCAGCGTGCTGCAGCTGCCTGCATCGCCGCGCGTCCAGTGCGTAGAAGTCGGTGCCTCCCAGCGCCTCTCGAATCGCTGGCTCTCTCCCTTCACGTGTCAAGCTTGGTTTACCTGGTGCGCCTCCTCGCCTGGCGAGGGCGGAGCTGCCTCTGGGTGCGCGACGCACACATGTGCGGAGAGAGCGGAATGTGATGGGAAAAGAAGGGGGGGGCGAGGGTCGGCGGACGTGCAAGGGACAAAGGAGAGAACGAGAGGGTGAGCGGGAGGATGGAGGGGGGAGGCGGAGGTCGGCCTTCAGGTGATTGGACATCTCCTCCGCGGGGATGAGCTGGCCAGTGATGGGGCAGCGCTGGGTCAGGCGCTGGGCGGACGCCTCGCGCATGAGGAATCACAAAAAGGCCAGCAAGGTCCCCGTATCTACCACCGTGCCGTCAGACACTGAGTGTAGTGTCCTCAGGTCCCTGCAGCCATCTGTCCTCAATCCTGAGGTTTTGTAAGGGGGCCACAGCCCGGAGTTCCAGGCGTTCCGTTGTGCTCGCGGGCCCTTCTGGAATTACGGCGTATTGTCGCATTGCATTTTTGGAGCTAAGAGGGCCCAATACGGGCCGAAAGGGCCCAAAGAAGCCCCCGAGAGGGTCCAAGAGGGCCTCGAGTCGCCGAACGGTCGATTCAAAACGCCCAACATGGCCCCAAGACGATCCAGGGAGCCCCCAAGAGGCTCCAAGAGTCCCAAGATCGCGTCGAGTCAGTACAGGATGTTAACGTCCTCGCTTTTTCAAGCTCTCGACGCTCCAAGACAGCCCACGAGGCCGCCCAAGACGGCCCAAGAGGCATCCAAGAGGGCCTCCAGGAAGGCCCGAAAAGGCCAAAATCATTGATTTCCTATGGGTTTGTGAAGGATTGTGGCATTTGCTTGCTTTTTTTTTGCCTTCCGACGGCCCGAGACGGCCCAAGTGCCCCCAAGACACGCAACTTAATCTGGGCTGCTCTGGGTTTGCGGCCATTCGGACGTCTCCGTACGATTCGAGGATCGGCGTCTTCGTCGATTCTCGATCCTCGAAGACAGGTGGCCGGGGTGCCCTCCCAGAGCGGGCCCGCGCACAACGGTCAGTGGCGCGTACGAGCTGGGGGGGTGGGGGCGGGGGGGGGGGGCGCGAGGGGGGGCTTTTTGAGAGGCCAAGGGGGCTTCGTGGAAGCCCTCCCGTGGGGCCCCCTGAAGTCCTCGAACATGGATCCTTAAGCGTTCTTCTGGGTTGCGATCCTCGAGCCTCGGTCTTCGAGCCTCGATCCTCGAGCCTCGATCCTCGAGCCTCGATCCTTGATCCTCAAGCCTCGATCCTCGAGCGGTCTGAGTGTTACAGATCGGCCCCAGAGCTGCCCCAAGAGGCCCCCAAGACGGCCCAAGAGGTCTCCAGGACGCTCAAGATGGCCTCCAAGACGGTCCAAGAGCCCTCCAGGGCGTCCTCCAAGAAGGCCCGAAAGGGTCAAAATAGCCTCCAGACGGCCAAGATGACCTTCAAGACGCCCACGTGTTCCCCGAAGGCTTTCCAAACCGATTCGGGGAACACATGGTCCGATAGCTTGGCAGGTCTGGCCTCAACGTTCGGCCACATAGGCGCTTCCAAAAAGGCAGGGGGCGGCGGTGATTCGCCGTAGGCGTCTTCGATCCGCCGCCCCCTTTTGATTTATCAAAGTGGTGCCTGGCGTGCCAGACTATATGGCTTTGGGTTTGGGTTATTTTTCCAAAAGAACTTCCCCTGGGGCTTCGGCCCGTCCCGCCGGCCACCCGGAAAACCCGCCTGTCGTCGCCTCTGTTACCCCAAGATGGCCCAAGATGGCCTCCAAGACGGCCAAGATGTCCCAGGATAGCCTCCAAATTGCTCCAAGACGGCCAAGATGGCCTCAAAGACGGCTAAGATGGCGCCAAGATGCACCCAAGACGGCCCAAGATGGCCTCAAGATGGTCTAAGACTGTCCCAAAGGCCCGCAAGAAGCCTCCAAGACGGCCCAAGAGGTCTCCAAGAGGTCCTCCAGGAAGGCCCGAAGAGGCCAAAATCATTGATTTTCCGTTGGTACTTGAAGGATTCTAGCATTTGCGCCTCTTCGGCTTTCCGACGGCCCAAGACGGCCCAAGAGGCTCCCAAGATCGCCCAAGAGGCCCCCAAGAGGGCCCCATGACGGCCCAAGTGGCCTCCAAGACGGCCCCAAGAGGGCCCCAAGACGGCCCAAGAGGCCTCCAACACGCCCAAGATGGCCTCCAAGACGGCCCCGAAGCGCCCCAAGAGGGCCCCAAGTCGGCCCAGAAAGGCCCCAAAGACGGCTCCCGACGGCGTCAGACGTGCCAGGAACCCACCAAGATGGCCGAAGCTGGCTCGAAGCTGGCCCAAGACGGCCCAAGAGGCCCCCAAGAGGGCCTCCAGGAAGGCCTGAAGAGGCCAAAAACCTTGATTGTCCTAAGATGTTTGACGGATGTTGACATTTGCTTCTGTTCGGCTTTCCGACGGCCCGAGACGGCCCAAGAGCCCCCAAAAATCCAAATGATCCCCCAAAAGGCCTCCAAAATGGCCCCATAACGGCCCAAGAGGGCCCCAAGACGGCCCCAAGAGGCCCCCAAGACGGCACAGGAGGCCTTTAAGTCGCCCAAGATGGCCTCCAAGACGGCCCTGGAGCATTCCAAGATGGCCCCACGTCGGCCCATAGAGGCCCCCCAAACGGCTTCCGACGGCGTCAGACGGACCAGGAGCCAACCAAGACGGCCGAACATGGCCCGAAGATGGCCCAAGACGGCCCAAGAGGCCTCCAAGAGGGCCTCCAGGATGACCCGAAAATGCCAAAATCATTGATTTCTCATGGGTTTTTGAAGGATTGTGGCATTTGCTTGTTTCTGCCTTCCGACGGCCCGAGACGGCCCAAGTGCCCCCAAAGATCGCCCAACATGCCCAAGACACGGCCCCAAGAGGCCCCCAAGACAACCCAAGAGGTCTCCAATACGCTCAAGATGGCCTCCAAGACGGCCCAAGAGCCCTCCAAGGCGTCCTCCAAGAAGGCCCGAAAGGGTCAAATTGGCCTCCCGACGGCCAAGATGACCTTCAAGATGCCCACGTGTTCCCCGAAGGGTTTCCAAACCGATTCGGGGAAGACATGATCCGATAGCTCCGCAGGTCTGGCCTCAACGTTCGGCCACATAGGCACTTCCAAAAAGGCAGGGGGCGACGGTGATTCGCCGTAGGCGTCTTCGATCCGCCGCCCCCTGCCGATTCATCGAAGGAGTGCCTGGCGTGCTAGACCCATTCGGTTTTGATGTTGGTTCCTTTTCCACAAGAACTCCGCCTGGGTCTCCAGCGCGCCCCACGGGCCAACCGGAAAAGTGCCCAATTGCACATTTGTTCGTCCACGACGGCTCGAGATGGCCTCCAAGATGGCCACGTTGGCCCAAGATGGCCTCCGAGATGGTCCAAGATGGCCTCCAAGTCCGCCCAAGATGCTCCAAGACGGCCTCCCAGACGGCCCAAGAGAGCCCAAGACGGCCGAAGACGGCCGAAGACGGCCCAAGGGGCCCCCCTGAGGCCTCCAAGACGGCCCAAGAAGCCTCCAAGAGGTCCTCCAGGACGGCCCGAATAAGCCAAAATCACAGATGTTCCCTACGTGTTTTGAAATATGTTGGCATTCGCTTCTTCTCGGCTGTCCGACGGCCCAAGACGGCCCAAGAGGCTCTCAAGATCGCCCCCACAGCGCCCAAGAGGCCTCCAAGATGGCCTCAGGACGGCCCAAGAGGCCCCCAAGACGGCCCAAGAGGGCACAAAGACGACCCAAGAGGCCTCCAAGACGCCCAAGATGGCCTCTAAGACGGCCCTGGAGCATCCCAAGAGGGCCGCAACTCGGCCCAGAAAGACCCCCGAAACGGCTTCCGACGGCGTCAGACGGGCCAGGAGCCCACCAAGATGGCCGAAGTTGGCTCGAAACTGACCCAAGACGGCCCAAGAGGCCTCCAATAGAGTCTCCAGGAAAGCCAGAAAAGGCCAAAAACACTGATTTCCCCTAGGTTGTCAAAGGATTTTGACATCTGCTTCGTTTCGGCCTTCCGACGGCCCGACACGGCTCAAGAGCCCCCAAAGATCGCCCAAAGATCGCCCAAGAGGCCTCCAATATTCTGAATACGCGGGCTCCTCTGAGCCCGCCACGTCGTCGTCGAACCTTGTTCAGGACACGGAGCACCTGATGCTGCGGAACATGCGCTGCGGCCAGCCGCCGCTGCGAAGGGCGCAACTCGCCCTGTCGTCTAAAATCCCGCCCTCCCGCAACCGAGCCGCAAAGGCTGCGAGGAGGGCAACGTGCTGGGCTGAACCCCTCACGCGATCTCCATCGCAACCAAACAGGGAGAAAAGAGATCAGCTCCAGCATGTCCATCTGTGCACCTCCGGGCGCCGCCTGCTTGGGTTCGCGGTGGCCCCGCTTCCGGCTCTCCAGGATCTCCTTGGTCCGGGAGTGGCCCAGCTCTTTCGTCTCGTCAAAGATCCCTGTCTCGAGCGCCGACCTCTTCCGAGCAAAAAGGAATCGCCCATCATGAACAATCATATTCCACCGTTGGTGCTTCAAGAAGGCATGAAACACATTGAACGCCTGGAGGCTGGCCATGGTCATACCATCGGCTAGCTGCGCATGGCTGTGCACCCAGCGGACTGAAGCCCCTCCTTCCTCGAGAGCACGTCGAAGAGCCAGGGCTTCGATAGTCGTTCTTCTCTCGTCCAGTCCGAGCCCAGCCGACTCTGACTTTACGACACCATCTTAGAAGGCCTTGCTGTCCGTCACGAGGGTAGCAGGCAGCAGGCACCTCTTGCAGGGCCCGTTGGCGGTTGCGGAGGTCAAAAGATCCGGAGAGCACCTCATAGAGGACCAGTCCCACCATCATTCGCTCGCCCTCGGCGTCGCCGGCCTCCTGGATCTCGGCAGCAAGGCTGGAACGGGCGATCCTCTCCAGCTTACGTGACCCCCAGTCCAGCACAGAAAAATTAGCCAAGCCGTGGAATGGTGTCTCGGCTGCGTTCAGAGGAGCCACGCGTCCGCCTTGCGAACGACCATCTGGTCGGCTCGCCCAGGCAGCGTCGCACAAAGTGCACGCGCGGAAATCTGGAGGTCCGTTCTGCAAGCCGGGTAGGGCGTGACGAAAGATCTGAATCCCGTCGTTCTGGTTGGCCTTAACCATATTGGTGATGATGTTCGCAACGTTGAAGAGCTTGTAGTCGCCGTCTGGAATCTTGCTTTGCACATCAGCGACCCAGGCAGACACCCATGGTAGAGTGTTCACTCCAAGCCATGACAGAGCTCTGCAACACGTCCGAAGAGTACTCTGGTCGGTCTCGGTCAGCTTGTAAT